CAGAAATTTGTTTTTTCACAGTTCTGGAGGGTAGAAGTCTAAGATCAAGTGTGAGCAGGCTTGTTTTCTTCTGAGATCTCTCCCCTTGGCATGTTGATGGCCATCTCCTGTGTCCTCACATGGTCTTTCCTCTGCCTACATCTGTATCCAAATTTCCTCTTCCCATAAGGATACCAGTCATATTGGGTAGGGCCCTCTGTAATGAATTTATTTAACCGTAACAACCCCTTTAAAGACCATCCTGTGGTATTGGGAGCTTCAACATATGAATTTCAGGGGGACATAATTCAGTTCATACCAGGGTGATGGTGGCCAGATCCTTGTTCCACCATTGAATATACATTATTTTACCTCTGGAGGAAAATGAAGCTATAAAAATGGAGAACAGGTAACTATTGAATATAGACAAGAGTAACCAGAAAGAGTTGGAGATGTTGAAATGAAGCTACGAGTCAATAATATAGCTGAGTATGAGTAATTAAAACAAAACAACCACATTTCCTACATTGGGAGGAAAAGGAGGTTCCTAGTCTGTAGGAAGAACAAGGAAATTTCCCACTCAAACAGTATAAATCAGGCTTCCATAGTATTATGCCACTTGAGGTTTTAAAAAAATGAGCAATTTGAAGGGTGAAGAAAATTATAAAAGTGTAGGAAAGCGAACTATGGAGATGAGACAAGAAGAATCGGCATTATTCAGCTCAGTGAAAGCTGAGAGGTGAAAGAGTAAGGTTTCACCATAGCAGAATGGTAGGTTCTTTGACTGCTCGGAACACCCCCATGTGATTGTGCTCTCATTGCAGCTATCTGATTTTCTAGCATGGAAACTACGGGGTTATTTATTGCTTTAGTCAGTCCAGACTGCTATAACAAATTACCATAGAGTGGATGGCTTAGACAGGAAACACTTATTTCTCACAGTTCTGGAGCCTGAGAAGCCTAAGATCAAGGTGCCAGCAGATCTGGTGTCTGGTGAGGGCCACTTTCTGCAGATGGCTGTCTTCTTCTGGTATCCTCACATGGCAGGGGAGAAAGAGAGAGAGAGAGAGAGAGAGAGA